CCTTCTTCGTCTTCGTTCCCTTCTTTTTACCCCATCAAGGACAATCGAGTGGCAAGGGCTTGCCTGGGAAGAGGAAGAAGTTGCCGACACCCGGTCCCGGTACCGATCCGTCTGAAATCGAAATCACAAAAGCATTTCTGGATGGAAGAGGGCGGTGCATTCAGCAGGCAACATCTGGATGACCCCGCCTTTTCGTCCCCCCTCCTAATAAGGGCCACCGACGCAAACCACTTTACTCCAAAGCAACCGACAGATTGCTCTCGGATGGCCCCAACACCCTCACCCCTCCATTTCACTTCAAATTGAAACCTTCTTCAAATCTTGTTTAGTAGTAGGAAGTCTTTTTTGAAAATTCCTCAAAACATTTCTTTGAACGTTTTTTTCATGAAAGATAAGGTTATCATTTTAAGATTATCGTTTTACCGGCTGATGGATTAATAAGTGTAATTTTTTTTTCTAAATTTCTGCTTCACTATCGTTTTTCTTTGTTATTATTCACTTTTATTTAGCTAATTGTAACTTACCATTAGCTAGAGAATTACAGCTAGGCTCAGAATCATCAGAAGCAGCACTGATTAAAACAACTGTAAAATAAAGAAAGAAAATGATGGGGTTGTCGACTAGCATTTCGATCGTGAATACACAAATCAATGGTGAACCAGTAAGCGTTTCAAGTGTTAAATAAATTTGCGTCAGTAACAGATTCTGCAAGATCCGCTTTTGCTAATGGATTCTGCAAGGTCAGCATAAGTCTTGTTCCTGCGGGGAATGGTTTCTCGCTACTGACTGCGCCATAAACTTCAAAATGCTTTCTTTCAAAAAGGCTGAAAAATCCCAGCTGTAGACATCTGCGTCCTGAAAAAGATATTTCTTGTAAAGCAATAAAAAACTGACCGGAAACACTTTTTGGCGCGTTTTATAGCATCAAGGTCTACTCTCTAAAATTTCCAAAAAAAATTGTTCATTCCTCCGGTATGCCGATTTATCTCAACTTTATTATCTTGTCTGTCAACTGGTCACTCCGACCAGGAGCTTCAAATTATTTGATCCGATTTCCATATCTGTCTAGTGTTTATCAAGGATACCAATCTAACGTCTAATGTTTATCAAGGATACCAATCATATCTATCTAATGTTTATCAAGGATAAGCCTAGTGACGCTCAGTATCATGATCCATTTTAGAGGTGTTACTGAGATGCTTCCGGTGTTCGATGTAACGAAGCTGCCCGTTTGGTCATTTAACTTTTCACAGATATTACTCAAAATAAATTAATCTCGAAAGCTTACATTATCAAAATATTTGCTTTTTTTCTAAGTGAACAATTTGAATTTTATCAGCCATCTTTTTACTCGGTTATTGCGTCACTCTGCTTACCGCGTTACCAAAAATCTGTGAATCGGGGGCAGTTTTTAAGTAAGGACAAAACTAAAGCTCTCCATGAGAGAGGGATGCACTCGAGAAGGAGTCCAATTCGCCGCAAGCCTCAGAAACAAGTAGCCGCTGATAGGGCTGTAAATGGTCACCTATGTTGCTTAAAAGTAAGCTGATGGCCTTTGCGGTATATGCTAAAAAAAGTGCCAATTTACAGTCAGAACGAATAAGCGAACCGTGGAGAGTTGATTTTCTCACGGCGAAGTCGAACTCTCGATTTTCAGCAGCGAGAGCACCGTTATTTGCTTGCGTCATGCCTGCCAGCGGTCAAAAACACTTTATCAAATTGAAAGCCCATAAAAACCACTGAATTTCTTGATTAGATTTTCCGCCAGTCCCTTGAAAACTGCTCTTCTTCATAAATGCAAGAGCTGATTTTCAAAATGTTTTCCTGTACATTTTTATTTCTCCAAATTTAAAATTGTGATTTTCCCAAAAAGTTAAAGTTTTATCCGAAATAAGAAGGTGGATGGGCAATAATTTTCTAGCGCAGTAATGAATAATGTACCGTTTCCTTTTGGATGAGTCAGGAATATTTTGACATTGCTTCTTCGAAAAATGGGCTTAACCTGACACTGTCTTTCTTAAAATGCAAATTTGACGTGATATTGCTTTCTCGGAAAAATCCACTTTTTTCCTAGAAATTATTATTTTTCCTCAAAAAACAGGTCTTCCAAAGATAGTTGCTAGGCCTTTTTGTTTTCAGTTGCATTTTTCCAATTCGCATCCACGGTTCTTTTCAAATTTCTACACTGTCTTTTTTGAAATAACCCAACTGATCGTTTTCTTCTTCGTAAACACCAATCTTTGAGAAGTTCACTGGTTGTTAGTAAGCCTGCGTTTTAATCTGTTTTATTTATGGCTCAAACTGCACAACTTGTGCAGTCGCACGATCAAAAAATCTGGTACATGTATATCAATCTTATGAAGTACATCCGTACGGGAGATCACCTATTCCGTATAACACCTATATAAATCTAACTTTAGCACGTGTACGATATCTAAGAAATACAAGTTTTATGAACATCGCCTGTTCACCGAATATTATTCTTTTCTTCATAATCGCAAATATTTTATTCCTTCTTTTGCTCTTTCTGAATGCACTAATCAGATGAATTTCCTAGTATTTGGTACGAGGAAGACATTCCATCTCGATGACCGCCAAACATTCGTGCATCCTTAATTTTCAATAATTTAATAATTTGATCTGGAACAAGTTCAGTGATGTGTGTTATTATTACTGATACAGACATCGGAGCGGCTTTCTCCAGTACTCGGTGCTTGGCGTCCTAATTGAGATGTCACCCTTTCGAAACTAGTTCTTAACCCAGTGAAATCCATTCAGAGCATCCATCAATTACAATTCAGGCATTTTGCATGTGCAGTAGCAGCTGTACAAACATGCAATAAAATATCCTTATCCTAAATTGTATACCATTAATTTTCCACATCAAATGATTCCTTTTTCTTCCGCATGCTTTTGAAAACTTCACTGGAGCTACGGTAACGGTATAGCCGGGCGAGGAAGAACGGGGAAGAAGGAAGCGTGTCGCTTACTTTTTCAAGTAGTGAATGGTATTTTTCAGCATTCGAAAATTTATTAATATTTCAACATTTTATTTAATATTTTTGCTGCAGTTCTGCAAGCGGGTAGTTACTGCTCGTACTTGCTGTCCACGGAATATTTCCAAGTGCCTCCGCTTCTTCATGAGAATGAACACAAACGCGGAGGGGCGGGAGGAGGGAGGACACTTATATTCGAGTAACATCACTGACTTCCTATTTGGCGTGCGGTTAATTCCTTTTCCCCTTCCCTCTGCCTCCTCGCTCATTTTATTATTCTTTAAATTTATCCTCTTTCAATTTTTTTAAAATTGTGATGCTTTTTCTCATAAAAATTTATTGCATTTTATCTATTTTTTTATCAACACCACAACCATCGAACTAACGAGATCCAGTTGTGGTGCTGAATAGAAATTTTCGTGAATTTATAGACCGAAACATTCCTGCTCATCAAATTTAAAAGAAAAAGTACATATATACAATTCGATATATTCTTACATATTACAATTAATATCTTTGCCATGGCATTATACATACACTGATTGTCCTGTCCGTCGCATTCAGTACAGCTTACAACTGCTGACAGATATGGTGCAGTCATAGGTAGCTGCAGTAGGCTGAGAACTCAACTCCCCGGTGAGACAAGCAATCCGCTCTCAGAGCGGGACGCGAGGGCGATAGTATAATGGATAACACGTCACGATTCAAAGGATTTGGAGTTGCAAAAGTGCGAGGTTCAGTTCCTCTACTGCATATTCCTTTCAGAAAGGGATTCCACTGGCAAAAGAAAAGAATGCGCTTTCTTGTATGTGCTTGTAAAAATTTACCATTAAAACGAAAAATTGTATATATTTCGCTGTTGCCCAGTTTGGCAGTTTCCGTATCATGTTACTAAAACGGCTGTATATCGCCTTACGAAGGTGAAAGTCAATCATTGTCATATAACTGATCGGAATGCGTGCAGTATTATGCGGCCGACCGGTACGCTGATCGTTATCGCTTGACGATTGTTTTACAGATCAGCGACAACGACGATGATGTGACCCTTTGCGATGACCTCGAGCATCACTTATTTATGCTAGAAACGAACAAAATTTTTCCTGCTACAGTAATTTTACCTTTCTATCACAATAAGTTCCAAGACTGTTGTCCGAATGCTTATTGCATTAGCACTGTTACTTATTAGCCTGGCAAATGTGAAAAGTGAGCAGCAACAAATTTTTAACATTTCGGAGCTCGCCTCTGTTGGCCAGATTATTGGTTATGTTAATGGCACACCATCGGACGGTATTCAGCCGAATTTTGACATCGTTTATCCGGATAACAGTGGTGAAACCGAAAAAGTGAGCCTTTTTTAACATAATTTCAGTTTTTTCAAAGGTACCCAGTTGACGCGACTGCTGCTGTTAATGATTTCCGGGAAAAAATATTCTTGCCTTGGAACCATGGAATAGTTCCTAACTCGCAGAACAGTTCGCAGTCTTTGTAGCAGATTACTTTTCCAGCTGCTTTGACCAATACTGTGCCACCTAGTGGTCAGCTTACTGGCGATCCCGAAGTTCGTTTTTTTTTTTCGTTTTTTTCCCATAAGAAAAAGATCTCAAATGCCCCCTTTGTAACATTTTAAACATTCGATAATCCATAATATGATAAAATATCTGCTCTGACCAATGCTACTTTAATTGTTGGTCAATCTGTTGGCGATTCTGACCTTCATTTCGTCGTCTGAAAGGTTTTTGGCTTAGCGGTTCTTTCTGTAGAAACACATGATAAGACTTTAGCTGCTTCGACTTATCGTTAATGTATAATGAATATTAGACGAGCTTCAACACCTCGTCTAAAACGTTACTCCTAAAACAGAATGAGATACTTTACTGGCTAAGAGATTCTTATTTAGACGGCTGAGAGTTCTAAGTCTTTCTGGGTAATCTTAGCAAGGTGGACTTTATTTCTCAACCAGCCAACTTAGTCATGCAATTTGCAGTTTTCTTCAATTATTTCCTGCAAACTAAATTAGAAAAACAAAATTCTTTTTTGTCCGTTCGTTACTGACAAAGGTCATTGACCTTATTCGAAGGCAGCAAAGCAATTAAAACGGTAAGTGTTGGTGCGGCTGTCGCTTCTCATAAAAGGAAAGTGGTTGTAAAGTGATCAAAATTTACTAAGATAAGAGTTGGATCGTTTATTTTTATGTCGTTCCAAGGGTTACTTTTGAAAGGAGGTAAAAGGCACGAAAATGGCTGATTCTGCAGTTCTTTTTATGTCTTTTTACATAAATCAAAAAGTCACATGGGGAGGTCAAATCTGTTCAGTGTGAGTTTCTGGGTAAATTCAAATTCAAAATTATGGGATCTATGAAACACGAGTTTTAGAATTTAGTGCAGTATCATAAGTCTAAAATCTAGAAACAGTTTCTAACCTTCGGTACATTTTCAAGTGCTAAGGCCAATTTCACGAATTCCTAATCGGTAAGCTGCCTCATAATGTTTTGGGAATCACAACGTTTGGGATAAAGCGGTGATATTGGACATGTACCAAGGACATCTCGAAACGGCTAAAACCTTTGCTAAACAATTTCATCGAGAGAATCGCTGAGCTAGTGTTTCATACAGGAACGAAAGGAATGTCAGGATCGGCAGCAGGCTGACCAGTAAGTGGCGCAGCATTAGTGAAAGCAGCTGGAAAAGACATCATCGTCATAATTCGATGGGCATATTATAAAATATAACTGTCTCAAGCATTCCAACTAGAAGTCCTGAATTTAGAGCGAAATAAATTTTTAAGGCCAAAAAGCGCTTTGCTTCACATGAGGGAAAGCACAACATCGAAGGTCCGCTTGAGGATTTTTCGTATCGCCCGGTTTTAGCGCACATTCAAACTGATGTCCTAATTTCGTGGTAAAATAAACTTCCATCTATTGTTAATGGATACCGGACAGATTTCATGCTAGAGGAATATAGCCGGTTTTCTCATGCCAAGTCACTTCCACCCACTGCACACCCATAAAAACAGGAAGAAAGGACACAACGACGAGCTTCAGCAATTTGTTGCGTAGCGCTTTTCAAATAGAATGTTAGTGAAGAGAAAAGCAGTTTAATGCAATAAAATTTGGTTTCAAAATGGCACATTTCGGTGCGAAATTGGTACTTACGCATTCCAAGGAATCTAATTCACTATGAGCTTGCTTGTAAGCAGTCCTCAAAATGTGGAGCCAATGACATCTTTGCCAGAGAGAGCAAGCTGTTTTTGATAAATACTGATTCTTGGAAAACTTGAGTTTGAGAGAGTGAAATTGAAAAGTCGAAATTTAGAAGTTTAACTTAGGAGGTTGATTTAATTCTAAAACGAAAAATTGGAAAAAAGTTTTGTCCAGAAAAAATCTTTGACAAAGACTAGAAAAAAATTTTTAATTTAAAAAAATGGTTTGGCATTTTGAAAGAACGCGAATATCCAGACGCACCGTTCTACAAATCAGTGAGTTAGCTACCTTGATTTTGCAGTATTTGGCTGTGGAAGAAATTAGTGGGGAAATCCGTCTGCTACGTGAGCTGGATTATGAACGTCAAGCATCTTATCAGCTGATTGCTGTGCCGGTGAATGGTCGCGGTAGCGCAGTTCATGTCATCGTCAATGTTATCGATGAAAATGATAATGCGCCAACATTCCCGGTTTCTTCACTGGATGTGAGTTTCCTGACCACTCCTTGGTGAGGAGAGGGGAGGAAGTCGATCTTCATGTGACCTTTTGGGATGATTTTCAAGAATGGTTGACAAGGATACTTGTTAAAAAGTGGGATGTAAAAAGAAGCAAAAGGCAACTTTCATAGCTTGAAGGACAGATTCTGGGGAAATTTCTCTTGAAGCTCATGCATTTTCGAGAAATTTAGTAAAAAAAAACATTATATGTTTTAACATGAAAAGAACATAACGGTCGTTAAGCAATACAAAGCTAGTCAGAAAAACTGCAAAACCCCCCAACTTTGTAGCGAGAGGAAACGATAATTTAAAAAAAAATGAATTTTCCGATTGTTTTTTGAAAAAATTTAAAGTTCTTTATTGCGTGATACTTCTTGAAATGGTATAGCTTTTCGAGCATGTAGATTTATTCCAGTAACACTACTAACACTAGATCCTATGCTCATTGTCCGGACAATCCCAGTTTTTCAAAATTCTTAAAATGCCGATTTTTTTAAATTTTTTGAAATTTTTTTACATAAGTGACAAATTTATTGAGCAAATTTTTGGCCCTGCCAAAACGAGGGAGAAAAAGGAAATACTCCGCAGCGTAATTAACCTCATTTACGAACAGTTTTCTTGCATTGATTAACAACTGTCTTATCCATCAACCGGCAGCTGTTCTGGACCTGTCAAAAAAATATCACCATCAAGAGTTGACAGCACGCAGCGGGAGGCTAAAGCAGTTGGCGCGATTCTTTTATCCTCTAAAATTTCGCGCTATTTATTCGGTATAAAGGAAGAGACGGCACCTTTTTTGCCTCTGAAGAGCGCTAATATGGCTTATTGGAAAACCCGAAAAATTGAACTTCCGATTGCTGAATTACATCTATGTTCACTTACACATTTTTTTAACTACCCGTTTACTCACCCACTTATTTACTTAATCGCCCACCTATTTATTTATCTATTTTTACTTATTTTTTTACGTATTACTTACCAGGTTACTCACTTAGTTGTTTGATTACTAACTTGTTTCTTATTTTGATCCCTTAATAAAGTATTACTGATTCAGCTGGTAGTAATGAGCTGCTAATCGGGCCAGAAAACCAATTAATAAGCATAAGAAAAACTTATAAAAAGTGCAGAGTGAATATAAAAATCGCAATTTACCATCATGAGTTGAAGTTTGTGCAATTCGGACTATGAGGAAAGATATTTCGGATGGAGATTTAGGAGGTTGTCAGTTCAGGAATTCATATTCTTCAGATCGGAGAGCTTTGCCAGTAAGGAGTATATTTTTGCAAAAAAAAAGTAAAAATTTCACTCGTTTCCGCGCCACTGCTTAAAAATTCCTTAATTTACGCATCCGTTCTCACACACTGAATAACAGAGATTACGAAGGACAGTCGACGGCTCAATCACCCCGTCCACCTGACGCTATAATTTTCACAGCTGGCAAGCATATTGTCCTGTTTGGATAGCGTAAACAGGAAAAAGTCGCCCATTCGCGTCCTTATTTGATGTCAAATTATCCGAAATAAGAAAATTGACCAGGGTTGGGATTAAGTTACTGAATAAGTAAGCGATATAAGTAAACAGAGGAGAAGAAACAGCTGTTGGCTGGCCACCAGATGACCAGTGCAGCATTGATCACTGCAGCCTCAATAGAAAATGATATCAATTACCACTGACGAAATAAGAAAATGGAGTGCAAATTGTTTTTCTTCCACCAAAACAGAAAATGATATTTTTTGCTCATAAAAATTTTTTATGAGAATTTTTCAATTTTTTTTT